CCATAAACATGCATTCTTATTGATCAGTATAAATTAACTAAGCACTATAATATGAATTTATTTATCTGCTGTTATTTCTTTTCAGATCAATACAGATACATAGATTTATGCTGAGGCTATGTCTTTTATCTTTACTATTTCTCTGCAAAATGTATTTTATTTCTTCAGACAGTTTTGTATACCCATCCTTTCCTGTGATTCAATATTGGCATTTATTTTCATCTTCTTAATGAATACTAGCTTCTCAAAGAAATACCCCTGAGACAATTTACATAGCTTATTTAGCACATCTTCTACTAGAAAGTTAAGATAAATTATTCTAGGAATTTTTCAATTTTTAGAATAAAGAAGAGATAAACAATGGAAGGGCCTATGATTATTTGTTGTCTGTGATTAATGCTGGTAACTGAATACAAAACACTCACCTAAAATTCTGTGCATTCTAGGTTGCTTAGTAGTTAATAAGCATATTTGAGTCTTTTTGAATTTTTGTAGACTTCAGAATCTAGGATTTGAGTAATTATTGTAAATGTGATGTATGGTGTCAAGGTAATTCCATCAAGTTTAAGTCCTTGTGTCTATATTAAAAATATTTTAATATAATATTTTAATAATATGGCTATTAATGGGAATAAAGTAATTTCAGTAATAGTTACAGTTGCTTTCTCTCCATGTATGCTACTGCATGCCAAATAAAAACACAAGATACCAAGAATTTCTATTCAACATGGTTTTGTTATTCTCACATGTGCTAAACTCAATACCTTTATCATGCTGCCTGATAATGGCTGCTGATGGAACAATAGTATGTATTAGCCCTATTCTGTGAATAAAGCAATACATTTGTTTCTATATAAATATCCTTTGGGCTTTTTTCTTGAAAGTTGTTTCAAGTACACAGAGTGCTAATAGTTTAGCAACAATTATAATTATTATAATTCTGGTTAATTAAAATTATTAACTTCAATTGGTTCATATTTTTTTATTCATATGATGCCAAAGGAACTGAATGACTGCTTAATTATTTTCAGCTCTGTTGGATCCCTATACTATATAATACAAATAATACAAATAGTCCTGTACCACCCCTCATTCAGTAACTATTCAAGGTTACCTCAGTTCTTTAAGAGTTTCAGCCATCGCAGGGTTCCTGCAGTCAGAAGATTGTGAACTAGCACCTGATGCCCAGTTTATTACAACATTGCAACATTCCATGATCATATGATCAGAATTTCTGACACAAGCAAAGTCAATGGGGAAGCCAGAAGGAAGTTGAAGCTTGCAGTCACAAGGTTCTTGCTTAATGACTCACATCGTCCTCATTTAACAAAGGCAACTGGGATTGCAAAAAATATCATTGTTAAGCTACCCAGTCATGTGCTTTACAACTGTGTTGCTTAACAATGGCAATTCTGGTCCCAACTGCCAAGAAAATACAAGGTGTACCTGCATATATGATACGTAACAGCCTAATAGCTTTCAATTGCTTTTGCAATTGTTCTTCAAACTTAGGTCCATACTCCTCTGCAGGTCAGTATTGCAGTGTGAAAGGACTTATAAATATACCCAACTCACTATTTTATTTTGGAGTAACAACGTAAAAGAGAGTCATGGTGTAGTTTAAGGCACTGTTCCAGGATACTGTGAGTTCTAATGCTGCCTTATGTACAAAGCCACTTTGGGTCAGGCATTCTCTCTCAGCCCTAAGAAGAAGGTAAAGTCAACCCCCTTCTGAATGTCTTGCTAAGAAAAATGCAGGCTGTTGCTAGGAGTCAAGAAAAACTTGATGGCACAAAGAAAAAGAAAGAAAAAGAAAAAGCCATTTCAGAGATGGCAGAAAAGTAGCAGGAAATTGTAAGGCAATGAAGTTAAATACATCATTGTATTTCTCTGTACCCTTGAAAAATATCCTTGCTTTTTCCATTTTAACAGACCTCTTCATATATTGAATTTTTTTAAAAACTTACCAGCTTGATTCCAACATAACATTCTCCCATTTCTTCTCAAGCCACTCATATATTTGTAAAACATATATTTGATTTACATTCTATGTAACAAAATTATCTGCATGTTTTTTAATTCCCTCTCCTTTTATTACACACATTTCTTAAGCAGCCCATTTCCATTGCATTTGACTTTTTTATTTGTTCTGACATTTTCAATTCTCATTTCTATATATAATAAAATAAATACACTTCTGGCTATATATCTACAGTATTTACAAAAAGTCCTGAAACAAGGATCTCATGGAGGAAAAAAAAGATCAAAGAACTTGAAGAAAATCAGTATTCTATAGTGAGTCACTATTTTACCTATTCATTATGTTCATTATTCATCACTGATGCTACAACGGAAAAATGAAAATTTTGCTTCAAGGACATCATTATAAATAATACAGCATTCAAATGAAATTAAGCAATGTAATAGATAAAAATGTTTCCTAACATTTATTTTTCAAGGAAAATGTTTCATATGTTTTCTTAATATTACAACAATAACTGGAAGAGACATGGAGACCTACTCTTTTTTTATTCTGTGACTTTGTTATTAAGATAGCAATCTAAAATAAAATAAAAATGTCATTTTAAAATCTATTTTTACTTTTAATGGTGTCAAACTTTGTTAAGATGACAACTAAAATATATAGTTATTGCAATATTATATATATTTTAAAATACAATTTACTAGGCAATAAGAAATTTGACTATAGAAACTGCCTCAGTTTTATCAAACTGTAAAATCCTTGGGGCCTTCCAGGGAGGTATGGTGAACTGAAGAGAGCTCTGCAAAAACAGAACTGATGAGCAAGATAAAGACCAAGGAACTGATGAGTCCTTGGAACCTCTCCAGAAGGAAAGGATGTAAGATTGAACAAAGGAAAGCTGCTCCTGACCGAAGAGACCGTACAACAGTGTTTTTCTATACAATAGGTTTGGGTAGCCAGGAAATGATGGGATTAGCCAACTTGTTTGCAATCATGGCAGAGATCTTAAATGGCACCAAGTTCGCAAACCTCACTTTCTAATCACTTTCAGAAACTGCCTATTACCTATCTTAAAGCTATTAGTCTGTTGTAACAAACTATAAAGTTAATGCTACTTGCTAATGCAAGTTTCCAGTTTTAAAATATTTTACTCCAGTCTATATTAAGTCAAATTTAAGTGACCTTCCCCTTTAATTGTGATCTTTAGTTCTTTTTGCTTTCCTCTAGTATCGAACTTTCAAAGTCGCATCCCGTCTTTTTAAAGTTAATTTAAAACAAAAGCATTTCCCTACAATTCTTAAAATTCATTCCATAATTTTACTTCAATCCATTTTGGAGCTTCATGCATTTTTAACTTTCCAAAATGAAAATTCTAATCGCCATTTTGCTGTTTTTTCCAAAATATTGTTTAAATCCTTAGATTTGCATTTAAAACTTCTTTCACTAAGGATTGAAAGAAAGACATCTGGTGATGTTGTAAACCATATTGTTCCATGTTGCTCCATAAAACAGGTACTCCTTAACTGAACTGGGAATAATGGTTATAAATCATTGCAGTTGTTAAGCAGGTGAACATATAATCAAGCCTGATTTTAACCTTTTTTGTGATGTCATTTGTTAACCTTTTTTGTGATGTCATTAAGCAAAAACAGCAGTCATAAGTGAATACATTTACCCAATAAGCTTTTTTTTTTGCCAGAAACTGGAAGAAAACCAGAAGTGGTTGCATCCCCAACACCCAGAGCTGACCCAACATGGTCAATGGTATCAAAGGCCACTGAGAGGTCAAGATGAGCCAGGATCGATGCACTATCCCCATCTTGCTCCCACCAGAGACCATCCAAAAACACAAGCAATGCTGTTCCCATCTCATATCTGGGCATAAAATCCAAGTGGAAGGGGTCCAGATAATCCCACATAGCCAATATGCTTGGCTCAGAATTGTGTGTGAATACTCTAATATTTAGCATTTTAAATTTCTGGCTGTTTCTTTTTCAGATTAACTATACATGCATAATTACATTCTATACTTAAAGTACTTTGTTCGTACAACACACTCCACTTCATTGGTGCCTATGACGTATCTTTTTCTCTTTATATGTAGCCTAATCTTCATCCTTAATGGGATAATTTATCTTACCAAGTTAAGAAAATTTGAAGGTTTACCTAAACTATTTCAGGAGCTGCTAAATTCATTTATATCTTCTTAAATATTACTTTGTATTGCCTTTAGGGCAATGGTCAAAATTATTAAATTATTTTCTTCATAGCAATTGGCACAAAGTGGCAAGGGAAAATTATATTAGTGTCTCAGTTTTAAATATGTCTCAATGCAAGTATTTTCTGATGATTTCATCATATATACAGGCAGGCATTTTTTTTAGCACAAGCAGGTTTTCATAAATAGGCTTGAGTTGGTGAAATGGGTTAGGTTTCTGTTACTTTATAATTGTGTTTTAATAATTCAAATGTATTTTAAGTTCCATTAAAATAGATTCGATTAGTTTCAGTAACCTGAACACCATTTGTAAGCTTTTATTATATGTATGCTTTTATTATACTCATATTCCACCAGGATATCTTTAGATATAGGTTAGGGATGAAAAAAATGAATTGTCCACAACTATTTGAGGCATTGCCTTTTTTCAGTCCTAGTCAAATCATTATACGCTGCTACATATTAGTACATACATACATACGACTTGAGGTTTAATTTTCCTTTTGCTGGCATCTCCTCAACTCATCTCAAGTGAGGTGAGAACAGCAATTTTTGCTGCTGAGAAGACTCGGCAGAGAACGCATGCGCAACCGAAGAAACGGCTCTTAATATGCGACCGCCCCCGTGTGGCCAAAGCCAACGGTTGAAAAAGGCGACGGTCATCCGCTTTCATTATTACGTCAGACGTATCTTGCCATGTCTTCCCCAATCCAGAGCTCGGCAGATGAAACGGCGCCAAGCTGGAAGAGAAGGGGGCGCGGCCTCAATCCAGTTACAGAAACGTATTTACTTGACTGCTGGAATTCCTATAGCGGCCCTCCCCAAGCGGCAAAGCGCTTTCTTTTCCGTCACGTGACAAATGGGAGACTCATTCTGAAGAGGGGAGATGGCCATGAAGAAGGTACCAAATTATTTTCTTGGCGGTAGTAGAACGGCTCGCCCAGAAGAAGTAGGACGTTGGAGTCCTCTTCCATTAATTCTAAATATCGGGGGCTAATGAGCGTTGTAGAGAACGAGAAGGACAGAAAGTTACGCTTGCCCAGAAATACGAATATTAAGCTCTGGATGTCTGTAATTAAACCCTGCCTGAGTTTTTCAGGGGCGGAATCTTACACTGTACCCTATATAACCAAAAGAAAAAAGCATTGTCAGAAGTGAGTGGGGCTTTGTTGATTTGGTTGCTTTGGCGAATGAGAAGTACAATGACTTCAAAATATTGTTTGAGAAGGAAATAGGTATTAAACTAATTACCCTCTTTATTAATTTTGACTCTGGTCCTGTATGGGTTGGGACCTAAAGGTTTCCTGGTGTGCTTACAACGTACCTAAATAGCCCTGTGTGTGGAGAACAGTGACACTAAAACTTGTGTGGAGCATTTTGGCCACTGTGTAGGTATTGCATATGAAATAATGAAAAGCAGTAGAGGAAGGACAAGTATTTTGTGCTTTGTATAAAAGTTCAGAATGTTTTCTCTGAAAGACTTGAGGGGTAATGTTTATTCTCTATAACTGGCAATGAGGTTAAAATAAAAATAGGTGATATTCAGAGGTGATTGAATTTTTATTGGTCCATTATGATTACAAAAAACAAAAAGGCAGTATGTTGCTTAGTCCTGTGTATAGGTCCATGTGAATCTAATGCCAGACTAGCACCAATGATGTTACCTAGTTTGGGTAATGAAATGTCTGCAAGAAAACTAACTCAGGGATTTCTCATTTGAAATCTGAGCTACAAATATTCTCCTTTATTGGTATATGGCCCTGTCTTCTCCCAATATTATTTTTCACATTACTTCCTTTGGTAGAATAAAAATTAAATTGATCTGCAGATTTATAGATTGCCCAGATGCAGGTGATTGTAGCCTATTGAATCTATGTAAGTAACACTTTTGTCATTATTTAAATTTTGGCTCAATGTACAATACTTTGTAACTTCCTCTTAGCAGTAAAACTATTTTCTTATATTTATTAGATTTTTATCCTGCCTTTATTATGTCTATAAGTAACTCAAGGTGGCAAACATGTATAACACTCCTTCCTACCCACAACAACCCCTGTGAGATAGGTTGGGCTAAGAGATTGACCTGCCTAGAATCACCCAGCTGACTAAAGTGGCACTGGAACTCAGTTTCCTTTTTTCCTATAGACCTCATTGTGTTGGTTTATTATTTTGTTTTGTTAGACACCGTTACAATTGTATATTTGTATTCATGATTATATTGATAAAAATAATGGCAGAAATGGATTTAAAAACCTTTTTTTGCAGAGGAAACGATCATGCTATATAGAACATGCCTGTTTTCCTGGTGAGACCCCTAGAGAGGAAGAGGAGAAAAATCCTCATGCACCAGTGGCTGCTGCTTCTATTTCAGATGCCTGGCATCATTGTGGTGATGGATTTCAGATTTCATCTTCATTGGAGGTTAATATTTTATGTTTTCATATGGGAGAGCTTGCTCCTTGGTGACGAAGAATTAAAATGTTTATGGAGACTACCAGATGATTCTTAATTGCTTAGTTACATGGATTTTCTTTCTTATTCATTTCCCCATTGCTTTCCAAACTCTTATAGTAGCTGTTTTTGGTATCCACTTCATCTTGTTCATGTCCATTTTCAAGTGAGTTTCCAAATCACAAGTAAACATTCTGATTTCAGTATTAATGTCAGGGATGGGATCCGACCGGTTCAACTACCGGTTCGATTGCTTTGCGTCGTGTGTGCATGCAAGAGTCGCGCGGGTGCAATTTACGACCTGCTGAGCTGCCCAGACACCTGAGCAGCACTTCGTGCGGGTGCACAGCGGTTGGGAAAGCCCTTTTTTTCCTGCTTTTTCAACTCAGCTATGTCGCGCCAAGCAGCTGTGGTTGAAAAAGCAGGAAATAAAGGTCAGGTAAAAGCCCAGGTGGACAGTGGGCCAAAACAACAGCAGACACAGAACCAGTTCTGTGTCTGCTGCTCTTCAGAGCTACCGGTTCTGTAGAGCTGGACAGAACCGGTAGAATCCCACCCCTGATTAATGTATAAATCAGGCCTATATGTAGTTCTCTTGAAAACTACTTGGAAATTCCTAATTATGCAGAGTGCTGCTTCAAAGCTCATAAAAGCTTTTTTTTCTGGCGTCACTTTTAGCTTTTTAGGAGCATGTCAGTGACTGTACCCCAAATATTTCTGAGGAGAATCAAAGCAAAAGCTTGTTTTTACTTATTTGTATTGTATTAATATGCTAGGAAGGAAAGTCAAAATATTGATTACCTTGACCTCAAGTTGCTCCTAATAAATATCTGATATGCCTACAAGAAGATCTGCTTTTATTTTGAGATATGGTGTGAGACTACCCTCAAAGTACACATTATGACTGATTTATATGGGCTGGGTCACAATGAATTTTTTTGCATAGGAGTTTAATATTGCCAAGATTTAAAAAAAAAATCAATTGCTCTACTTACAAAATAGTTCAAAGGATAGGATATACACGTATACAGTTGTCAAATGTCTTGACTGCAGCATTCTCAATAATTTGAAATTACAGAGATGAATTGATGGAAGTCTGGAAGATCCAGTAAAATCCATTTATTTATTGCCAGAGTAGATAGAAACCAGAATAAAACTAATCTGAGTAAAGTTTATTAGTGTTCAGTGGAAAACACATTTAATAGTTTTAATAGTTAACAGTTTAACTGTTTGTGGCCCTCAAGTTCAGAAAGGATATTTTTTTCTGTTTTATAATGTATTTGCGATGTTTCTATTACTCGTTATTTTGTTTTGCAGCGGAAGTATGTGGTAACTGTATACTTCATGAAGTAGCATTTTAAAAGTATACTTTTGATAAAAATTTACAAATATAATTTACACAATACTAAATTATGTGTATTCTTCTCTTCTTCAAACAGGCCAAAGAATCTTCAAGAAAACCAGTTAGAGCTAAAAAGTCTTTTGCATCATTGCTTAGTTCAAGTGAAGGTACAATCCTGTGTTTTTTCATTTTATTAATATAAATGTTACTTGTATTACATTCAAGTTCATACTTCATGAATTTGATGTTTGTTTAGAATATATGTTTGTTTTGGATTATGTTACACAATTTAATCTTAACAGAATTAGAACATGCACTACTTAGAGTCATCTGTGCCTGAAGCACTCTATAACCCTAAGGAAATAAATAACATGCAACACTATGACTGTAATCATGCTTATGCTAAGATATTGTTGATTTTGATATATTCCACCAAACCTGTGAGGTTTTTTTTAAAAAAAAAACAGTATAAAGTTTAACCATTTCTAATTGCAGTGAGATAAATTAATGAGTATAACCCAGAGTATATCGACAGAAAAGATAGTTACACAGATCTAAGCATATAGGAATAAGAAGTGATATGCTACATTTAATGCACAGAAGAATGTGTTGTAAGAATGAGATTTATTCCCTCTTGCTGGTATAGGAAGAGTGGAAACTTTAAAAAAAATCAATATTTTGATCTTTGGTTCCTACTTAAATAGTAACAGAATGAGTTGTGTGTGTAGATCAGTTAAATTTCTGATAAGCTTTAGTTTTAGTTGGTGAGATAACATAGTGGCTGAGATTTGTTTAGAAAGATCTTGGTACAAATCCCTTGAACCAATAGATGATCTTTGGAATATAAAACAGGATTGTTGTAAAGAGTACAAGAAGCTGTTGTATAAATACTGCTTAAAATTATAATCAAAATTCTGATTACTGTTATACATTCAAAAACTATTTAAAGATAAACATTAGTTCTTTAAATTACAAGGTATTATTCAGGCATCCCAATAAATTGCAGTTTATCATATTGTATCAACTTTCCCTGAGCTTGCAGGTTCCTCTTTCATATACTGCAAAAAAGTTTGCAAATTCTTAAATTTTTAATTAATTCTGCTAAGCTGTAGTTAATATCAAATATGGCATTTCTACACAGTAAATGTATTTTAAAAGTCATAATAGTTTAGGGGTCAATGAACATAACATTTCTTAATAAAAGTTTTATTTAAGTTTTCAGAAAACATACAAATACAAATAAAATATCTTTTTTTGAGAACAGTGTGGCCCTGGGTTATCACTTCTTCATTCAGACATAAACTCAATACATATTTATCTTATACATTCTAATCCATATCTTATAATTATTTTCACAATTTTTTCAATAGCTTTTCCCTTTCTTTACTTCCTATAGCCTTATTTTAAATTATCTCATTCCTTTCTTAATTCAATTACATATCTTTTTCTAATTTTTAAAATCTTTCTAATCAATGTTTTTATACTTTCATCTGTCCTGTTTACAATTTCATATTATCTTTTCTCATAAAACAAATTTTCCCCTGTAATTACTAGACTGGAGTATAACTCCTGTGTATCTTTTTTCAAATCTTATTTTAAAATTTAAGTTACATCTTTACAGTTATGACATTCATTTTCTAACCTCTATTTTATAACACATACCTATTTTCAATCGAATTCTGCTTGGTACATTCCCTCAAAATACACACTAAATTCTTAAAAGAAAAAAGTATATACGTATATATATATATATATCTGTTTTCTTAAGTTTTCGCTGCTACTTACATGTATGGTATTCAGCTTTGCTCGGGTATTTTCCCACGTCATTGTAGTTGTGCTTTTAAAGTTGTAGCAATGTTTCGGCAGAATCTTATCTGTCTTCATCAGGCTTCTGTATTGTGTTCGTCAGACGATACAGAAGCCTGATGATGGCAGATGAGATTCTGCTGAAACATTGCTCCAACTTTAAAAGCACAACTACAATGACGTGGGAAAATACCTGAGCAAAGCTGAATGCCATACGTATATATATCTGTGTATATATGTATAACAATAGTAAATGGAATAATTATTCTATTAAAGTACAGCTCTGCCATTAATATTAATAACAATCTTTTACATTTCTATTTTTTTTAACAAACATTACCTAGTAATATCAGTTGTCTTTCACTTTAATCATCTATATTTCATATTTTATTTATTACTGTCTTTAAATAAAAAAACCAAACAATAGTTTTATTAACAGTAGTCAATAAAGTTATTATTCTTATTCAAGATCATCTTATCAACTGATAAAAATCTTCCATGTTTCTTTTCAGTCTTTTTTAAACATTTTTTTAAAATCATTGAGAGCCTTATTCGCTTTACAAACAAATATTCCACTACACATCAATAGAAATGTTTTCTATCACTTTAATCATCTAACATATTTTCTAAACCTTTTCTGTTTCTAATATAACAATGCTATCCCACGCACCTTTGCAGAATCCTCTCCTTAAGTTAAATTTTAACCATTGTCTCTGTGTCTTTTAAATAGGTTTATACCTTTAATTCTTGTACATTTTTTCTGTACCTCTATATCTTGTTTCTGTCTTTTGTAGCTTCTTTTCCTTTCCCTCTTCCCTCTCTTCTTCTCCCTCCCCTTTTTATTCCCTTTTCTATCTGATTCTCCCTTCTGTGATCCTCCCTTCTGCTTCTTCCCGAAGTTATGATTACTTTTCAAATTACTCTTTTTTTGGGTTGTTGCTTCAGTACTTAAGTTTTTAACTCTCTTTCTCCCCTTTCCCTTTTTTACCCTGCTTAAAATTGCTTGGTCATTGAAGATGGCTTCTTCGTTGTCCCGCTCTTCTTGTTCTGCCAGCATTTCTTGTTGTTTTTCATAGTTCAAAATCTCCATTTCTAAAAATTGAAATAAGAAGCCAAAAGATCCTCTTCTGTCTTGTACTTCTTTTTGTTCTTTAATTCTCATTTTTAACTCTTCAAGAAGTGATGCCATTTTAAAAAATTTTAAACAATCCCCAGTTGATTTTATTTTATTTCATTAGGATCCTCCATCCAAAGTTCCAGGAATCATCCAATAATCCAAACTGTTTCTTGCTTCTTTTCTCACTTTCTCTTTCTAGGGGCTTTGTTTTCTTGTAACAAAGTTTCAGCTACAATGTATCTTTTTCAAGCCATGTTAAAATTCCACTATCATTTTTTTTTAAGTTCCAGGTGGTCTCCTCCATTTTCCAGATTCCACCCTCTTTTTTCCTTTTTCCCTCCGCTGATTTCTTTCTTTTTTTTAAAAAGAAAGTTTTTAAATTATCCAAGAATCTTTATCCCTTTGACACTTTATTTTCAGGTAGAAATAGCCTATTAATGTCAAAGTGGATTAGTATCAATTTCTTATTTGAATCTCTTCTTCTTAATGTTCTAAGTCAGTTAAAACTGTCGATGTTAGAGGGAAAAAAGCCAATTCCATTTCCTTTCCATTTCTCTTTCACAGCTTAAAATCTTTTTTAGGAATAGTATTAGTCTTTAAAATTCGGGTTCCAGGTACCTTAAATAGATGTTCTCCATTCAACCCGGTCAGTCAAACTTTCTCCTTTAAACTTCCTCCTGAACAATTTTGTCTGGTCGGGTTCTTCTTTGAGGTGACCATTTCTGACCACTGCTGCAACCGCCTTTGGGAAAGGGAGTAATGGCCAGCTGAGGAGGAGAGATGTGGCTCTCCTCAACCCCGCTGACAGCTCCCTCTTCTTCACCACCTCTAGGGGGTGCTTCAGCCCCGAATCCGGGTGGCTCGGGGCACTCCAGCGGCGAGCATGGATCAAAACCATGGACGATCGTGATTTCGGTCTGTTGCTGAAGAAGCCCAAACCGGAAGTCCGAACATAACATTTCTGAAGTACTTATACTCAGAAGGAGAAAAAAGGAATGACATCAGATTTGGATATATAAATGAGCCAGTTTGCACCATCACAATAAGCCATAGTTTATCTTAAAAGCTAAATGTAAAAGCTAAATATCTTCTCAAAAGATATTGAGAATATCTTACAACATTTATGAATTTACCAGCCATTTTGTATATTTTTCTGAGTGGGTTTTAGTGATTTAGTATTTTTTCGTTTCATGTATAATACCCAGTTGGAAACTGCTCCTGAGAAAAAAGTGAGAAAAAATAAACCATAGCTATTGCCATTTGGAAATATTTGATTTCATATAGTTCCTAGATTGTATATTGTATGCTGGAACATATGATAATTCTTGTTCCCTTAATACTTTAAATATATCACAGTCTTACTGCTACTTAAATGTATGCAATATTTGGACCAATTATATGTGTATTTTAAAGTTTATTATATGTTTAAAAGTATAGCTTTATATTCTGAATGATTAAATGTTGTGTAAAATGGATTTTCTATTACATTTTATATTTAAGTAATGTGATGTTTTACTTAAAGCTGAAGAAATTAGTAATGTGCTACATTTTTTTCAATTTTCTTAAATAGAAATAGAAACTGAGAACCTTTGTGAATTTACTGACATTGTATGGAGTTCCAGTGGGAGTGAATTTTCAGATGAGGAAAATGACATTGCAGCTTCAGATTTTCTTTATATGAAAATGAAGAAATATAGAAAGTATGCCTTGGTCTCCAAGAAAGTGTGTAATAAAGGTAACAAATTTTCTGTACACAATGTAAAAATCAGTTTTTGTTTCTAATTTTCAAAAAGCCATGTTTCCCCTATTTGCATTTTCTTGTCTCCATAGAGTAAATCCTATCCCCCTTTTTTCTGGAAAAATTCTATTCTATTCTAGGTCTTGCTCTACTATTCTTCAGAACAGTCTGGTCTTAGAACTTCACTCCTGAATTCTTTCTACTTTTTAGCATTTTATTTATACATTTATTTATTTGCTTTGTTGGAAATTTACGTATATTTCACAGATCTTACTGTTGTTGCTGTTACTTCCATTATTAACTCTTAGAATCAAATGAAATATCAGGAGGGAAAAGTTGGAAGAAAGTATATGTTTATGTGTTAACATTGAATAGGACATTTTTATTTATTTGATATGTCTAACAGACTCATTCAGATAAATGCAAGCTTACAACAATAACAAATAATATGTCCATAGTGTACAGTGTAATAATAAAATACTCTTCATAAATCTATAATACCATTAATCAAATTGATAACATTCAGTATACTTTCTTTTGTGAAGTATAACAACAAGTCTTAGTTGCCATCAAATCTACAAAGTTGAAGTCATTAACTTAGATTCTATGTAGAAAATTAGATATGTCTGAAATATAATAAATATCCATGAGAATGTTAATAGTTTTAAAAATGTCTAATTTCCGGAAGTTTTTTTTCCCTATTCCTTTATGAAGAACCTGAATTCATTGAGTGGAAGAATGATAGTGATTATGAGCATGATGAACATTATAGTGAATCAGAAGGTAATGAAGCTCCTTTGGATATATTGGACACAGATTCGTGCACAAACAGCACTTTCAAAGCCGATGGAGAGAGGGAAGATGAACCCTCAAAGGTAAAAAAAAGAAATGTTTAAGATGGAGATCTTTTCAGAATGTTTGCTGTCAGACTAAATATCCATTCTATTTGGAAGTGGAAATTATTGTATACAATTTAATGCATTTTAATTATTTTTTTTAAAAAAATCATTGGTTGTCAACCTTTTCAGCACCAGGGACTGGATTCCTGGAAGACAATTTTTCCATTGGGGGTGGTGGGAAGGATGAGACAGTTTCAGTTTTGCTTGCTTGCCTGCCGCTCACCTACAGCTGTACGGCCCAGTTGCTAACAGGCCACGGTCCAGTACCAGTTTTAAATTGGAAGCCTTTCTTTTATTAAATGCATGGAATCCTGAAACTTATATCATGCAATGAGGAAGAAATATTTTAATTAATAATAAATAAGGTTCACCAGTTTTGCTCTTTTAAACTTAATATCCTGGTTTATAAAGGATTTCGGTATTCTCCAGTAGAGGGAGACAGGAACCATTTTTTAAAAAGTTTTAATTTAGAAGAAAGTTGATAAAGAATTTTCTGTGCTTTATCCTGCCCTGAAGTATTAAAAGTATTTTTTTTAAAATAGGTGTAAAAATTTTATGTTTGGTCAACTATCAGTAGGTAATAGGATATCTGATAAATGTGACATCATTAATCACAGATTAAGCAACAGAAACTCTTTAACATAAAAATTGGGGGAAATAATATTTAAAGATTAGAGAGACATGAAGCACTATTATTATCATCATCATCATCATCATCATCATCATCATCTAATTTTCATTGGAATACTGTTCCAAAATGCCAGCATTTTCTGGCCACAGTTCCTTCTTGTTCCCAAAAGTGGGAAATATCAGTTGTTTCTCCAGAGATGACCATACAGGTTTATTTGTGAGCCACAAAATTTGTTTTTGATTGAGGTGAGGATAGGTTTAATAAATAAAGTCAAGTGGATTCCAGTTCATGTAAGCAGTCTGGAGGTCCAGTGAACTAAGCTTTGCATGTTTTAATGTGTTACAAGAACCCAGCCATAATGTATTGTAAATCATGGTTTATGGCTTTAATGGCATAACTAAATCTATTCAAATGGAAGTGTGCCTTCCACTCTTTTCCCCTAAGATGGCTCCATCTTTTTGTCCTGTAAGAGTGGCATGGTCCCTCCTGGCTTTGACCAAATATCTTCTATATCTGGCATTGTAATTGAGATAATGCATTTCTAAATTAATTTTTAAATTTCACTGATCTTTTAATCAAGATCAGAAAAAACACCCATACTACTAAATTACTACTAATTACTAAAATTACTAAAAATGCAATTGATATGTGCTATTAATAGCAATTATATTAGTTTTGATTAAGGTATCAGCCCTTTTCCCTATTGAAAAATTAATATAATTTTTTATTTAAAACATGTAAATCTAGAACAGCCTCTTTTAGCTTTAAATATTAAAATGCAGATAATTGGTTTTGGGGCAAAAATAGATTACCAAGTTATTCCAGTCCAGAACAACTGGAAATAAATGGAACAAGAAAAGAATCTGAATATGGAGTAGATGCAAGAATTCATGCAGACCACAAGATGGTGCTATCCTGCTAAGAGAAATCTTGCTTTAAAGGTGAAAACAAATTTTGATGATTGGGTTCCAGTTGACAGTAAATATAATCCTGTAAAGAGAGGAGCATAAATTATTTTTAATTGAACACAGGAAAAACAAACATTAAATTTAGCAGTTTTTAGCCGAGACACCTATTTCTTCCTAGATAATGTACCTTGAATCAGACTTTCCTTCTCATTTAATCCACCTAGACTTCCCTTCTGTTTTTTGGAAGTTCTAAAGTTTAAACTTGGGTTGAAGAGAAATTAGCCTTCTTCACCATATCCTAGCACAAAGCTTAATATTTGACTCTCTTATCCTAGAGTTATGTTTTTAGTTTTCAAAAATACAAATTATCTTCTTCCTGGAAGGGTAAAGCTGGGGTGTATCTTTCTCTTCCTATGTTTCAATGTGAGCATATTGTAAAGCAGTGGATTCAAAGTGTCTGAGCCCATGAAGCTTATCTGTCGTGAAACAGTGGGAAAATTCTAAATATACTGAATACAGGCTGCCTTTCACATCAACTCAAATTAAGTTAACCAAGAGAACTGTTACTAACAACTTCTTACATTAAATGCATGCTATATCTTATTGCTTAAAAAGTGTTTACATGCCTCTTAGTTCAGTATAATAAGACTGTCTTGTATGTTTATGGGCTCAGTGAATAAATAAGTTATGGACAAGACAAACATTTAGCTCTAGATATTATACCTGGCTATTCTTAGACTAGGCAAGAAAAAAATAAATACACAGGTAAAGCTTGACTTACAACCATAATTGAGCCTAAAATTTCTGTTGTTAAATGAGATATTTGTAAAGTGACTTTTGCCCCATTTTACAACTTTCCTTACAATAGTTGATAAGTGAATCCCTGCAGTTAAGTTAGTAACCTGGTTGTTAAGTGACTGGCTTTCCCATTGCCTTTGCTTGTAAGAAAGTCGTAAAAGGTTAAAGGTTAGAGTTAGGACCCAGGATATAGCAATTGTCATAAATATGAACCAGTTGCCAAGCATCTGAATTTTGATCAGGTGACCATGGGGATGCTACAAAGATTGCAATTGTGAAAAAATGGTTATAAGTCACTTTTTAAAGTGCTGCTGTAGCTTTGAACAGTCACTAAACAAACTGTTGTAAGTCAAGGACTAGCCGTATAGAATAGGTGATACCTGGTTCAACAGAAGTAACTGAGAAGGATCTAGATGTCCTAGTGGACAACCTCTTGAGTATGAGCAATGTGCTGCAACTGCCAAACAAAGCCAACGCAGGCTGCAGCAAGAGAGGGATAATATCAAAACCACGTGAAGTGATAATACTGCTTTATGTTGGATTGATAGGACCACACTAAAAATCTTGTGTCCAGTTGTGGTCACTATGATACAAAAAAAAAAGAGATTGTAGAAGGAGTGCAGAGAAGAAGAACAAAGTTGATTTGGAGAGCTAGAGGCTAAACTGTGATGAATGGTTGCAGGAACTAAGTACTGTATGTCTAGTCTAGCAAACAGAAGGAGTAGGGGTGACATGATAGCAGTCTTCCAATAGTTGAAGAGCTACCATAGAGAAGAAGGATCGACCTATTCTCCAAAGCTCTGAGGGTAGGACAAGAAGTAATGGATGGAAGTTTATTAAAGAGAGATCCAACATAAAATTAAGGAGAAGTTTCCAAACGGAGAGAACAATTAATAGCTCGCCTCTGAAAGTTGTGGGTACTCCATTGTTGGGGGTTTTCAAGACAAGATTGGACACCCATTGTGGTGTAGGGTCTCTTGCTTGAGCAGAGCGTTGGAATAGAAGATATTAAAGGTCTTTTCCAACTCTTTTATTTGGTTAGATATGATTCAAACAGCAACATGAGGAATCTAGTTTACATCCTTAGTTGTGATTATTTTTATTGTTAAGTGCAGACTTAGAAAAATGAATGTGGAATGAAAGTGGAGTATCAGCTACAGGTTTCCATATATGATTAAATACTGTATGCATAGGTATTGGAGTTAAGTGTACAAATCTCATTCTGTTTTCTGTATTTGTAACGGTTGATTAACTTTTCTAACACTCTGTTCAGATAATAATATCTTACCACAATATATTCTTATAGAATTGTACATTGTAGCACTACATAGATTGATAGTCTCCCTCCAATTTCTTTTACTTCTTTCTTCGTGCAGCCAAAAGGTATAGTTTTCTTTTTTGATTAAACAATAAAATTATGTTCCATAATTTGTAAATAAACCAGGATATTAAGCAAACCATAGCATTACATAGCAATGTATTCTGAAGCCAAAATAAAATCTGGATGAACCTAACTGAACATTTACTATTTAACATATAATTTAAATACACAAACACTTAGATTATGTGAGTTGGTTTCATTTTTATTTCTGACTGGCTTCTGTCATCTTTGCCATCTTTAATTTTTGTGTCCTATTGTATTTTTAATGTTTTTACTTTTGAACTATCCAGAGGTGTTGGTAGTTAGCTGAAATACCAATTAATTATTATCTCTTCACAATAGTGTGAAGTCACAGCGGCCAGTTCTTTAGATGATGTTGGTGTTCATATGCATTTTCTTCTCAAAAACGAAGGAGGATGTAATGTATCCATATAGTATGTGTTAGAATCCAAGCAGTGTAACCTTTTGTACTTGACAGTTGGAATGTCAATATGTACAATTTCTAAGTGCTGTCAAAAAATTTTTGGCATGACACCCAGTGTTCTAATAACCACTGGGATCAATATGGCTGGTTTATGCCATAATCTTTCAATATTGATTTTCAGATCTTGATACTTTGTGATGTTTTTCAATTCTTTGTCTTCAACTATATTGTTGCATCAATTATGCATACTTTCCTTTTTTCAACCACATTTATATTTGATGTGTTACAAGCCCAGGCTTTGTTAGTCTGTATTAGGAAATTCCACAATATTTTAACCTGCTCATCTTCAACTACTTCTTCAACTCTATGTTCCCACCAAATTTTCATTAATGGTACATGTAATTTTACAGGTGTTCCTGTGAATCATTTTGGCAATTATGTTATATCATTGTTTATAATCAGTTTGTGCAATCTTCTTGCACGAAATTCATACAAAATTGGTTTCTTCTGCTTCTTGTCACAATCACTTGTTGATTTTTCAATTCTAGCCTTGATTCCCTTGGTTTAAATTGCTTGCTCTTACACAGCCAAAATCAAGCCTTCATTTCTTTAAAAAAAAAATCTTGTTTTAAGCCATTCTGGAATTTACTTTTATCCACCTTCCCCTCAATCTGCTGTGGAAATTGACCATGAAATGCTTTTCCTTGCCAACATTCTGTTCTGTTTTTATTACACTGTTTTATTATTTATGTTTCTTTCATGACGCATGTTCTGTAAATTTCAATTTTTAACTTGTATCAATGTCTATTATTTCAGAATTCTTGGCTTCATATT